GTCAGTAATATATATATATATATATTTATTTATATAATTTTTTATTTAGATAAATTAATACTTTATTCAACATGAAATTGATAAAAAAGTGATAGTAAAGATATTTATAATTTTACAAATGCTATTCATTCTATTCATCAAAGAATCCTGGAAAAAAAATGTATCATAGTTTACAAAAATATATTAAGCAGCACAACTGGTTTTCAGCATTGATGATAATAATAATAAGAAATGTTTCCTGAGCAACAAATCAGCATATTAGAATGATTTCTGAAGGATCATGTGACACTGAAGACTGGAGTAATGATGCTGAAAATTCAGCTTTGCATCACAGGAATAAATTACATTTTAAAATAAATTAAATTAGAAAACAGTTATTTTAAGAAAACAGTTATAGCCTGTTAACCCCTTCATCTCTGCGTTTTGTCTCTCTACAGGTGACTGGCTTTGACAGTGTGGATGATGAGTCCAAACACAGCGGTCACATGTTCTCCACAAAGAGCCCCAAACCTGAGGAATGGGACATCGTGAAGAACCCATGATACTCTTACTGGATTTACTACATGTATGCAAACATTGCCGGACTCAACCAGCTGCGCAAGTGAGTATCTCAATAACACACAAAAAAGGCAAGCGGCTTTGTAGGCTGGATAATTGTTGTGCTTGCTACTATCTTTACAGCCAATCATTTAAAGGGTTAGTTCACCCAAAAATGAAAATTCTGTCATTAATTACTCCCCCTCATGTCGTTTCAAACCCGTAAGACCTTCGTTCATATTCGGAACACAAATTAAGATATTATTTATGGAATCTGAGAGCTGTCTGACCCTGCATAGACAGCAATGCAACTGAAATGTTCCCAAGTCCAGACATGTAGCAAGGAGATCTGTAAAATAATCCATGTGACATCAGGGGTTGAACCACAATTATACAAAGCTACGAGAATACTTTTAGTGCACAAAGGAAAAAAAAAAAAGACTTTATGCAACAATTACGGTTTGACATATTGACATGAATAATACCACTAATTGCACAGCTTGCAGGGAGAAGTGTCCTGTTACTTTTCTAAGCAATTGGAGTCCACAATTTTAGCAGAGAATAATTATTTTGGACAAAAATAATTTGCGTTTTTGTTTTTTTTACATTTGTTAATGTTTTTGGAAGACCCACCAGAGATGCATTTATTGGAACAAAAATACATTAAAAACAGTAATATTGTGAAGTATTATTACAATTTAAAATAACTGTTTTCTATATTAATATATATTAAAATGTAATTTATTCCTGTGATGCAAAGCTGAATTTTCAGCATCATTACTCCAGTCTTCAGTGTCACATGATCCTTCAGAAATCATTCTAATATGCTGATTGGAATATAAAACAATATTGGAATTTTGATTGGAATAAAAATCTAACATTATGAATGTCTTTACTGTCATGTTTTATCAATTTAATGCATCCTTGTTCAATAAAGGTATTGATAAAAAGATACTGACCCCAAACTATTAAACAATAGTGTGTATAGAGTCCAGAATATTACTAGAGATTTGGGTGTGGGCTGTTATGACATAGACCAGTAAGCAACCAACTAGCACTAAATTCCCGTGCAGTGAGTTTTGCACAAGAATGCACCATTCACATTTACTTCAGAAAAATTCTAAAAGTAACATTTTGTGTCGTGTACATTTAGCATGTAACACTGTGTACATAAGCATATAAATTATTAAAACCAGTCCATAAGAGGTTATTATATGAGAAAAGATGCACTAAGATGCCATTTATTATGTGCTGTGTGTTTGTGGTATCCAGGGAGAGAGGAATGAACACATTCCAGTTCAGACCTCACTGTGGGGAAGCTGGAGCTGTGACTCATCTGCTGGCCTGTTTCATGACTGCAGACAACATCTCTCACGGTCTCAACCTCAAGAAGGTAATACACCATTTACCCTGACCATTAGAGGCATGGTTCATCTTACCACCTCACCTTACCCCCATACACTCTTTCTGCCTTCAAAATATACACAGGAAACACAACATTCACTGTCTCTTCACATTCCACAGAGCCCTGTCCTGCAGTGTCTGTATTACCTGGCTCAGGTCCCCATTGCCATGTCCTCACTCAGCAACAACAGTCTGTTCCTAGAGTACAACAAGAACCCTCTGCTGGACTTCCATAATAAGGGACTGGTGATCTCCCTGTCTACCGACGACCCCATGCAGTTCCACTATACTAAGGTGCGGCTTCAACCCTTTTCATATGTGCAAATTAGATGCTGCTTTACCCTCTCTTCCTTTCATTTCATACCCGTGCGTTTATCTGAATCCTGCATCAACAGGAGCCCCTTATGGAGGAGTATGCCATTGCAGCCCAGGTGTTTAAGCTCAGCACCTGTGACATGTGTGAGATTGCCAGAAACAGTGTTCTCCAGAGCGGCCTGTCTGCTGAGGTGAGGTCACCTGACCGAACACATCACTATTTTTTCCGTATGTTGATTTTACTGATCTAGACAGAAGGTATATTCTGTTATAATATAGCAAATGTTTAAGTTTTTTTTAAATAAATACAGATAATGTCTAATGTTTTTGAAATAATAAATAATATAATTATTTTAGCAATTCCATTTGGTGTTGCTACTGGTGCTAAAATGATTAAATTACATTACACAACTTCAAGTGTAACCCTGTGTCATGATATATATGCAGTATGTATGTGTATATATATATATATATATAGGTGTGTGTGTTAGGTTTTTTATATTTTCATTTGAATTTTACTTTAAAGCTCATTTGAATGAAAATAAATAATACTAAAATAACAGGGATTAAAAATTGCTATATATATATATATATATATATATATATATATATATATATATATGTAATCCATGTTATTCTAAGTATTATTTATTTATTTATTTATTAACATTTTGAATGAGCCTTTATTTTTATATTTTCAGTTTTCATTTTAATTTTAGTTTCAGTAATTTTGTTCTTTTGCCTTTATTTATTTATATTTAGCTTTTAATTTATTTATATCAGTTTTAGTTTTGGTCAGTTTACTACGTCAACTTAAACATATTTTATTTCAATTAGTTGCCAAGGCAACATTTCTGATTTTTATTAAAAAAAAATTCATTTCATAATTTCATTAAATATTCATTTTTTTTATTGTATTTCAGTTTTATTTCAAATTACATTGTTAACAATAACAACATTTAACTAACATATTATTGGGGGCTTTTTACACTTCAAAGCAAGAACATGATGATTCCATACCTAATAATTAATCATTCCAAATGTTTAATTCCAAAAGAGAGTTACACATCTAAAAAGGGTTATTCGATGTTTTTGTTGAAATTTTAATGTCTAATAATCTATAACTTTCAGTCTCAATAATCACACTGAACTGAATTAAGCTGAGTGCTGGTACTTTCAGTATTATCATCTTCTGTAGAGCTGCTTTCCAGTCGCATCTTTCAACATCAACACTAGTATTATACTGATTAAATTGAATCAACACTGAACTGATACGAACTGAATAACAACATTACTGCCTTTTGAACAACTGTTTACAGCTGAATTGAACTCTCAAACTTCACACTGTTATTAATCTAACCTGACTTGATCTAAATGGCACTATTGCCTTAGCTGCTTTAGTTGGGTTTCCATAATTGATTCTGCTATTTTCCCGTCTCTGTGAAGCTGCTTTGACACAAACTGTATTGTATAAATTGTTATAGCAATTAAGGTGACTTGACTTGATACCGCAATATAATGCTTTTTTCTCACACAAACAGGAAAAGATTTATTTCCTTGGTTTATTTTCCAACTACCTGAAGGACGGTCCTGAAGGCAATGGCATCCGCAAAACCAACATGGCTCAGATTCGTATGGCCTACCGCTACGAGACCCTGTGCTATGAGCTGAACCTCATTAGAGAGGGCGTGATTGCTGACTAAACAAACATGCACATACACAAAGTGGATTGTTCTACACTCTCCTTAAATTGTCACTTCCAATGACATTTCTGCATTATCATGAATATGAAGCCCATGAGATAACGTCCATGAGACACAGCTTAAATCTTAGTGAGAATTGACACTCCAGAACTTAATACTGAGTCTTCTTGTACACAGGTGTCCGATTCATGATTGGCTTGTGCAGTTTGTCTTATGTCTGACCTTTAGGTCAGGTTTACAGTTAACTAAGTTTACATCTCCTCTGTGCCTTTATTGTATTATGTTTTTTGTGGTCGTGCTTTGGAAAAAGCCTGTTACAGCTGACTCAATAAACAATATCTATATTTAAAATATACAGTGTTCTGATTTTTTAAATCTTATTTTTAACACAAAGTTGAAAATGCTGCCATCATTTGCTCCTAACTTGCCATCATTTCCATAACTTTAACTTTTTTTTTTTCTTTGAGCAAAATGTAGTGTGATGCATGACATGGGTACGTATGGGTACACACACACATATATATATATATATATATGCATGCATAGGCTATTATTATGTAAAATCACACATGTGCTTACAATACAAACATTTTTAACGTGTGTCTAAACCGAAATAACACACACACACACACGAAATATACAAAAAATTACATTGTACACTTATAACCTATTAATATTAAAGAGCACTTTATGGACTAAACTGCTCCCCATAAAATATTGCCAATGTATTTCAATACAAAGTAGTTTTAGCATATATTTGCCTCATGTCACTAAAGAGTTAAAACAATAAAATCAAGACAATAAAGTAGTATTTCGGTTTCAAGTTATGTTTTCTATCCAATCAGTTCCTTGGAACACATATGGTCATTTTATGAAGAGACACTTTTATTGCAGCAGCAGCTCGTGAGCTGATTCATCCACTCGAGAGGAACCGAAGCTCAGATGGGGAACTGACAGCACAGGAGGAGGACTAGCCGAGCACATCCACTCCTCAAGGAACGCCGATAGCAGTTTCTGTCGGGAATATAAACAACACCAGGAGTTACATTGTTGCCAGTTGCCGGGAGTTATTTGTTACTTTGAAACCCGTCAGTTACTCGCTGTGAAAGTGAATGGATACAAGGTTTTTTTTTCCCCGAGGAAGTTTTTAGCCGACTGGCTAACTAAACAGCCGTGAGATATGAAGACTTCGGGTTCACAACAGAGTTACAGACTCAGTATTTACTCTAAATGAACTCTTATGAAAACTTTTATTTCAGCGGAGTCGGACATATGTATTGTGAAACAGCGGACAAGTTTGCCTAAGTAAGTTGATATTTCTTCATAACAAAAGATCTGAACTGGCTGACATGATAGAGCTCTGGTTCGCTGGTTTTATTTATTTCTTCATTTATTTATTTATGTAATGTTATCTAATTTAATATCATTTTATAATGTATTTATTTTATATTTTTGCGGTTGCTGATGACTCTTTTGATAACCAAACCCCAAACGCAGAGCTTTGGTGGCATACCTTGAAGCAGGTGGCTTGGAGAAAAGAGAGAAAGGATTTATACCGCCTCTCAGGTTGTGGGTTAACGTCATGAGAACTTCCTCCTCGCATGCATTCGGGAAGTTTAAGTCAGGATGATTGGAGTTAGGCGGCTTACCGCAGACTCTCAGAAGTTGTAATTAACCGCTGGTGTGGCCCATCCAAACCTACACAGACCATCTGCACCATTGTATGCCTGAGAACTTTGCTGCGTTCAATTTCATGCCAGACATCTGAGTCACCAAAAAACAAGCTTGGAAATACTGCACCAGATTAAATTTGTAAAACCATCGTTATGGACATTCTGCTGATCCTGCCTTCCTGTGAATCAGGAAACACAGGCTAGGCCTTCCTGCTCACACTCTTAGACACAAGTGGGTCAGTAGATGTGATGATCAAGGGGGATGGGATCTGGCTCGAATCGCGGAGAGATTCCAGTGCGTACGTTAGATGTAGGTCATCCAGAACAGAGGCATCATTTTCGGGTCCGGCCGATCAAATGTGGTCATATTTACCGAATTATGTCGTTCAGTCCCAGTGCCAAGAAATTCCAGCAGGTCTTCACTCTCAGCGTAATGTGCAACGTGTCCAAAACACTTTGGCCGCAGATGAGGGCTTGTATTAGAGCTGACAGATCCGTCCCGTCTACAGTAGATGCAGGAAAGAGGAATTTCAAGTGGCCTCTTTTTGTTGTCAACTTGTTGCATAGATACCAGCGTTTATTAACATGCATGAAATCTTGTATATTTTCCTCATTGATGTGCTGACCGCTCGTTCTTGTGCCACAATGAAGGCCCTTCTATTATGCGCACATGGATGTGGAAATACTTGGAATGCCCGTCCTTTTCATGCTGCGGCTGAAAGAAGCTTTTGGAGAGGAGTGAAATTGAATTACATTATGCTCAAGTGTGTTAATGCACGGCAGTGCTTGGGACAGGCCCAGCTGGAGAGGGTGGGAGTGGGGGTGGTGGGGGTTCCTGGGAATGGAGGCCCCACAATGCTTTGTCTTCTCCCATGTTCCTGTGGTTGTCTGTCTCCTTTTTGTTAGGGTTTTTATTTTTGGTTTCGCTGCTGACCTTGACAGTGACGATCTTTGGTTTCCTGCATTTATGCAGCATACAGGGACCATCACCTTTTGTGTGTGCAAAATGTGTTTGTCAGTTGAAAGTGGGTTGCATGATATTGCAAAAAACTGACATTGCATTTTTAATGTGTGTGATGTATATGTATTACAATATGAAAAAATACAGAAATTTTCACCAGAGTATTTGAAAGGCAATATTTAGGAAAAAACGAAACATGCTACAGTTAGTAGGGTAATTTTGTTGGGGAGTGCATTTGCATAGAAAACAAATGCTGAAAAAAGTTTACTCTGAAGATGTTTTTTGAGTGTGAAATCCTTTTAGGACTGCAAGATTTGGGAAAAACTAGAAAAATTTGGGTGTTCATCAAATTTTTTTTCATTTAAAAAAAAAAACTAACCTCTAACCCAGGGGTGTCCAATCGTGCTCCTGGAGGGCCGGTGTCCTGCAGAGTTTAGCTCCAACCCCAATCAAACACACCTGTACCAGCAAATCAAGCGCTTACTAGGCATACTAGAAACTTCCAGCCAGGTGCGTTGAGGCAAGAAGTTTAAGTCAGGATGATTGGAGTTAGGCGGCTTACCGCAGACTCTCAGAAGTTGTAATTAACCGCTGGTGTGGCCCATCCAAACCTACACAGACCATCTGCACCGTTGTATGCCTGAGAACTTTGCTGCGTTCAATTTCATGCCAGACATCTGAGTCACCAAAAAACAAGCTTGGAAATACTGCACCAGATTAAATTTGTAAAACCATCGTTATGGACATTCTGCTGATCCGGTGGAGGGCCGGTGTCCTGCAGAGTTTAGCTCCAACCCCAATCAAACACACCTGTACCAGCAAATCAAGCGCTTACTAGGCATACTAGAAACTTCCAGCCAGGTGCGTTGAGGCAAGTTGGAGCTAAACTCTGCAGGACACCGGCCCTCCAGGACCGAGTTTGGACACCCCTGCAAACCTCTTTCAGTAACCATTTCAGTTTAAAAAAATCTTTGAATCTTTGAAAAAGAAAGGAGTCTTTGAAAGTTGAGTCTTAATAGGCCACATCCCCACTGTTTTTTAACAATTCAGTATAACTATAAATTTTCATAATTGCAATAATAATGATTTTTATTGTATTATTGATTTATAATGTTATTAATAACGCAATTTTTGCTAATTTATTTAAAAAAAATTTTATCTTTATATAATGATATTATGTGATATCATTAAATAAAAATAGTAAACTAAATAATACTGTAAAATAAATACCGTAAAATAATAAAATCAAGGAATAAAAACAAAAATACTGTAAAATCACAATACTAATATTTATGTCTTTAAGGGGTCCTATTATGCTTTTTCACTTTTTCAACTTTAGTTAGACTGTGATGTTGCTGTTTGAGCATAAAAAAGATCTGCAAACTACAACGAACGACTCGTTTGGACTACAACGCATATTTCCGGGATTTGTGATATCACAAAGATCGACGAATGGGACTAGACCTGGTTGAGCTGCACTAGAGAAGGCAACGAGTGTTATTATCACTATGTCGGAGACACGCTAGCTTTCCCAAGGCAGACGAACTTGGAGTGGTTACAATCATCCGGGTTTAAATCGTGCTCAAATTGATTTGATTTTGACGCAATATTTACACTGAAGCTTGCAGGTGGCTATGGTAAGGGGCATGACATTTCCCGACCAGGCGCCAAGTGCTGCCAATCACAACACACACTGGCCCAGCTAACCAATCACAGCACATTTGGTATTTCAGAAGGCGGGCCTTCATTTGATACAGGAACTATTCGAGCCATTCATGCCAGACTGGGGAGAGAGGTGTTGTAATGATGTCAAATATGTGAAAAATAATGTGTTTTTCGAAAAGCCTAGTATGAGAGCCTGTTCTAGTACACCCCCAAAACAAAATCAAGACTTTGTTAAAGAGCATAATAGGACCCCTTTAATTTCTTTGGTAAACAGTAAACCATCACAAAACAGTAAACCATTGAGCTCAGAACGGCTTGAGTAGACACTGAAACACTGTTTCGAAGTACATGTTTATAAATGCTGTGCTTGAAACCAGTAAAGCATGTATTTATCTAAATAAATTGCAAAAAGCTATATTGTGATGTTGATTTTGTTTCGATATATATTCTGCAGCACAAAGTTGAACCCACTTGTTGAGTCTTTTTTTTCCTTTGCAGATTCCAAAGTGAAGGAAGAATGGCAGAGGAACTGAATCCTACAGGAAAAGGGTTCTTCTGTGAACTTTATTAACTTCTTTGCACCACGAAGGAAGGGTTTCTTCCTTGATCGCTGTTGGAATGGCACACAATCCTGCAGTGTGACGGCAGCCTGGTCGTCATGCTGGCCCTTGGAGTGGACCATGTAGAAAGAGGGGCGAATGTCGTCGCAGGAGGACCAGGAGGGAAGACGGTGACGACGGCAGCGTGGCCGATCACACGAGAACTTGCCGTCAATATTAAACAGAAAATCTCCCAATGGGAGGGTCTCAGCCAGCAGGAGGACATCCAAAGTGGGAATATTAAGCCCCAGCGGACTCTTGCATCTCGTAGGCTTTCAGGGGACCTCCTTGGAAATGGACTTGACGGCAATGATGGAGGTTATAACAAAGCAACTGTATCAAAAGCCAAAAGTCTGGGTTTAGATTTCAGGGAAAACCAGATGACTATTAGACCGGTTACAGGAGAAACCCAATCTGATTTCCTAAGAAATCTAACTCATTCGAATAAAACTTCTGTGACTAAGCCTTTAAGCACTGTAACCCAAGTCCAAGTGGCTAAACTGAATATTAAAAGCAATAATATCAAGACAAACAATTTCACAGATGACAAAATTACATCTCTACCTCAATGTGTAGATGATCCAGAGGCATCATTGCCTCCGGGGAACTTTTACACCTCCAGGGGTTTCTGGAAACGACTGGAGGCAGATGAATCTTTGTGGGGGAAGGATTCCTCAATGGTGACTAAGTGTCTTGGTGAAATTGGACCTTCTTCTCCTCCACCTAAACCACAGCGCACATTCCAGTACAAGGGTGCGAGCAGTCCGCCCGGCCAGTGGATCCAGTTGGAGGACCAGACTCCGTCAGTCAGCAAATCAAATCAAGTCCGGAAGCATGACATCATATTAAAGCCACCCAGCTGTCCACCTCCTCCTAGTCCAGTCAACACTATCAACGGGTTTTCCAGAAACAGAAAGAACAGGTGAATACTTTTCCCTTCAGTGCAGATCACATTACACAGTTAATCCCAAATTTAAGAAAAGGAAAAGAGGGAGGTTTTAGTACAGCGTCCAACAGTTGTAAGTACTTTAAACTCTAGATCTTGTCAGATGCTGCCTTAAATATATTTAGATAATCACTTATATACAAAATATCCCAATATTTAGAATTTGTTTACTTATTATAAACAAATTCTTTCTTTCATTGAGGTTTTTAATGTTGGTAGCAGCAGGCATGTACACAACAAAACAGTCATATGGACTACAAATTTTTAGAGGAGGAATGGAGACAAAAAGAAAATACAGATGAATCAATTATTTCTGATCTTTCATTGTTGAAGTCTTTAACATCGTTTTTAGATTCATATGATGCCATTTCCACCATTGTACTTGTCCACTCTTTCAGTTCTGTTTTCAATTTCTAATTTAAAATAATATTATTTGACTTTTGATCTTCGACACAGTGTGTCGTATTTTCATTTTGCTGCATCTCTAGTAATGTCATGCCATCAAATGTGTCATTAAATAATTGGGTTAATAAAACCGCAGATTCCAAAAACGTGCAATATAATGTGATCGAACAACTTCTTTATATAATTATATTGTACAAAAAAACAGGTTGATAACCCTTTATAAATAGCGTTTAGCTGGCTTTTAAAACCTGTTAAACCTGGTCACAAATGAAATATCCTCAGAACAATAGGTGTTGGCCTGTAACGTTCTCATATCGACATGCCTTACCTTGATTGATAGCGGATTGTTGAGGAGAGATGTGCTATTACTTTTCAAAGTGATAAGATTGAAAAAATCCCATAGACTGAAGGACCCGAGCCAGAATATCATAGAGCCTTAAAGTGACAGTTTGTCATACTTTTCTCACCTTCATGTCTCTGTTTTTCTGCGGAATGCAAAATACGATATTTTGAAGAAAATTGGACCTCACTGGCTTGGCATGGGCAAAAAAAAAAATAAATAAAAAATCTTCTTTTGTGTTCCAAAGAAGGAAGCAATTCATACAGGTTTGGAATGAAACGAGGTTGAGAAAATGACGACAGATTTTTTTGGGGTGAACTTGTATAAACACCACTCACAGTTTCTTAAGTAAATGTACAAATCTCCTTGTCGTACTCATCTATTTCATACATTTATTTGTTGGACAGCTTTGCGTCAGAAGACAGCTTGGAGAGTTTATCTGTGAGTGGGTGATAGTTTAGCTGTCTGGCCTCATCCCCAGCTGTGATGTCAGCTGTTCTTTGGCAGAATCACAGTCCATTGTCCACATTTTTGTGCCTAAAATGAGACTTTATAATATAATCATGTTGTTATATATAATCATTTCTTGAACCCATTTCAATTCACCAAGAGCATCTCAAGACAGTAAAGATTCATAAACCCACATTTAAGTCTTTTTTTTCTATCTGCGATGAATTAAAGGCATGACTTTTTCATTTCTAAGCTCAAGTACATGTTTGTATTGTTTAGTGTATTGCATTCTGGTACCTAGCAACCTCATAAAAGCACTCTTCCATGACACTATTTGAAACTCATGTGGAGGTCAAAGCAGCGCATGATGCATGCTTTGAGCGGTGCATAAAAAGGCCTTTACTGTCCACACACATTGTGAGCATTATGTTTTTATCGGGGGAAAGCACCACCGCGCTGTTTCCGCTCATCATGGCCAAATGCCACAATAGTTGCTGTCTCACTGCTCTCACTGTGGGCAGACCTCTGTGGTCTCCATAACTATGAATCATAATTAGCATGTCACGTTTGCTCTGGCCAGACATACACATGTAGATGCATGTCACTGTTCATTATTACACATTTAGTCTCATGGTTGGTATTTTGTAAATTGTTTGGATTTGTTTCGTATTTGAAACATTTATTTGTGGGGCTTCCATTGTAATTGCATTTTGTAAAGAATACTGAAATAAAAATGAATCTCGTTTTCCACAAAACTATTAAGTAGAACAACTGTTTTCAACATTATAATGACATGAAATGTTTATTTAGCAGCAAATCAGCATATTAGAATGATTTCTGAAGGATCATGTGACACTGAAGACTGGAGTAATGATGCTGAGAATTCAGCTTTGCATCACATGAATAAATTACATTTTAAGACATGAAAATAGAAAATAGTTATTTTAAATTGTAAAAATATTTCACAATATTACTGCTGTTACTGATAAAAATATATACAGCCTTGATGAGCATAAGAGACTTCTTTCAAAAACATAAAAATATCTAAAAAATCCCCCAAACATTTGAACAGTAGTGTACAAACTAAAGTCGTAATCAACCTGGAATATTGCTTTGAGTGAACTATAATGAAATATTGTTTGTTGTGTTTCTCATGTAGCTTGTAAACAGGATCCAGGAGATATTTGAAGCCAAAAGAGGAAGGAAACGAGTATGGGCGACAACAACCAGAGGTGAGAGGATGCATATTTCATATTTACCTGGTTTACCGAGAGAAAAAGTCTAATCATGCAGTAAACGTGTGTTTTATGGCAGATGAATTGAGTGGAACAGAGAGTGATCCTGAGGAGAGCTCTAAAGGTCAGTGTCTCCCTAAGGCCTCTGCACAGAGAACTCTTGTTTATTCAAGTTGAACTTGTATATCAAACCAGTTTAGCAGTTTTTATACACCCATCAATGCTGTTTACATTTTTTTTCTCATAGATCGTTCCCAGCGCACAGTGTACATTCAATCAACTTTAAAGCGACGGCCGAGTTACCGCACTTTAGAGAGGGACCTGATCCAACTACAAGAGCAGCAGCTTTTCCAGCAATTTGTAGTGGTGTCGCTTAGAAAAGCTTCCCCTGGAAACACATACATCCCTGAGATCACACAACAGTTCCCTACGAAGGTAAAGAGACCTAATAAATTGTAATGACATAATCCGTAAATAATATAGGGCGGAGCTTAATTTGAGATTTGAATTGTGGAATGTGTGTTTCACCATTTTCTTTTTTTCCACAAATTTTTATTTATTTATTTTTTTTATATATGTCTTTCATATATTATAATTGAAATAATTTTATATAAATATAATACAATTATTTACATTTTAATTTACAATACATTAATTATTCATGTAACACTGAAGAATTGGAGTAATAATGCTGAAAATTTAGCTTTGCCATCACGGGGATAAATTACATTTTAAAATATATTAAAATAGAAAACAGTTGACATTGCATTTAACTTCTTTTTACTTTTTAATTTTAAATAAGTTTTAATTATATAAATAATAAGACAATATAGAAAAATGTCAAAATTATATATTTGATTATATAAAATATTATTTTTCTGTCTTTATTTTGCATTTAGTTTGAGAGGTCTTCTCGTCTGTCTCGTGAGGCTGAAGACAGATTAAGGGCGATTCCCAAGTTTTGTTTTCCTGACTGTTATGACTGGCGTCCCTCCTCGGACCACACCAGGTAACATGCAAATAATAAACAATTTATGTTACTTGACTAAATAATTCACACTCCTAATATAATCTTTGATTATCGCCCGCAGTGAAACGTTTTCTTTTGTCCTAACGGGGGAGGATGGGAGTCGCTTATTTGGATACTGCCGCAAAATCCTGGTGAGATTGTAAATATGGTTGTCACATTAATTCAACAGAAAAACATAATCTCACCTGGTCAATTAAAATAATACTTGGCCCAAAACCAAAAGTAATCTTTTATTCATCATGTCATTCCAAACCTCACATCGATCATTATGCAGGTTTGAAAAATATTTCAGTGAATAATATGTGACTATATTGTGTATTGTCAGTGGTAAATCTGCACTAACCTTGACCTTTGACCTGTATCTTGCAGCCCAGTGGGAAGGGGAAGAGACTGCCTGAAGTTCACTGCATCATCAGCAGACTGGGCTGCTTCAATCTCTTCTCAAAGGTCAGGGACATTTCCTGTTTAATCAGCACTAAACCAGTTCGACAGATGCTGAATTGTAACTGTCTGCAATGTTTGGGGGTAGATCTTGGAGGAGGTGGAGAGGAGGAGAGAGATTTCCCCTGCCTTGGTTCATCCTTTCATGCACTGTGTCATGGAAGCTCCCTTCCCTGCTCCTGGACGCACCATCACCGTCAAGAGCTTCCTGCCGGGCTCTGGCAATGAGGTAAGAAGATATCGTTTAAAGGAAAAATAACGTTTAGTCCTACATGTGATTTATTCTCAAAAAAGGAAGATTTTTACGAAGTTTTGAATTTATTTTCCCCCATGATTATAAGTATTAATTTAAATCTTGACATTATTTGTTGTTTTATATTTTTATTTTTTCAAAATGTATTTTATTTTATTATTTATAGCTATTTTATTTCACAAATTAATGGTTGTACCACCAGTGAAAAATTATCGGAAATTACTGTGTTTTTTTTTCAAGATTGTGGCAATATCATCTTGAAACACATGCCACTGACAAGATGAAAATCCATAAATTATAACAACAAATAATTTTTTCAAAGAAAATCTTTCACTTGAACATTAAACAATTTAAAGGGTTAGTTCACCCAAAAATTTTAATTCTGTCATTAATTACTCACCCTCATGTCATTTCAAACCCGTAAGACCTTCGTTCATCTTCGGAACACAAATTAAGATATTTTTGATGGAATCTGAGAGCTGTCTGACCCTGCATAGACAGCAACGCAACTGAAATGTTCCCAAGTCCAGAGACGTAGCAAGGAAATCTGTAAAATAATCCATGTGACATCAGGGGTTCAACCGCAATTATACGAAGCTATGAGAATACTTTTAGTGCGCAAAAGAAAAGAAAAAAAGACTTTATTCAACAATTCGTCTCCTCCGCATCACCCTGTAGAGCTATTTTGGAGAGTATCCACTGAAGGCAAACAGCTGCGTCACATGGATACACTGTTTTCGTTCAGATCAAATCACAACATCGTAGGAAACAAATCCGGTGTTACGCAGCTGACACAGAACAGCATATGTTGTTTACGTCCAGCTGATACTCTGCAAAATAGCTCTACAGGGTGATGCGGAGTAGGGATGCGCCAATCCGATATTCATATCGGGTATCGGCTCCGATAGCGCCATTTTTCTCGGATCGGGTATCGGTCAGAGAGAGCCGATCCAAATCCGATAATTTTTAATTTTTTTTAAATATTTTTTTTCGATTGTGCAAATTATTCTGTGTTACTTCTGAAGCCATACGATAGCCTAATGTGAGCTACATATGAATATTTAATTCCTTACATTAAAGTTCATACAAACTCTTTTCTCCGCTGTGGCTGTCAGTCATTCGTTCAGCCTTTAAACCTTGGTCGCGTTCGGTTACAGCAGTCAGCTCGGTAAAGCTCTCTCCAAGATCATTCTGTGATCCCATTATACTTGATTTGTAAATACATGTCTATGATTTTGCAAAAAGGACTTTATCTTCTTGCCGGAGTTTAATGTTGTTTTGTTACTTGCTACCAGGTGTCTGAAAGAACAAAACACGGGCGTAGAAAAGACTATAAATTGTTTTTAACGTGCACAGTAACTGAAATTTTAAACTGTTAAAAGAAAGGCTCAATAACTGTTGCACAGATATAATACACTATGCATCAATTTCTCTTCCCTTTGTGCTTTGCACTTTTTAACACGAAGGACGAAGCACTTACAATGTGCGCACATTGTAAGCGCTTCGTGCTCATAGACTGTCAACCCTCTACATTGCGAGTAAATCACTCGCATATGTGACTAAATCTTCACTCTGGGCGACTAAATGATGTCTAATATTAGCCAATGGCTAATAAATTCTCAGATTTTACTCGCCAGTGTGTGAGTTGGAGGCTGAGTATATGATTAGCACAGATATATTTTCACTCACAGAACACTCTGACTGAGTGCTTCAGAGTTTCACTCTCCGTCAAGCGAGCTGTGATATTTTTCAGTTCATTTGAATGGATGCGCAGCGCTCCTGTGTTTGTGTATTTGTCGTAACGTAATCTCTAGTGTGAAGGCACACGACTCGCCATCGCTTTCTCTCTTTCTTTCTGACCCTGAATTGATTTCAGCGAATCAGTTCAAGCAAACGCACACAACCTGATTAATATTCATGAA